TGTGTGTGTGTGTGTGTGTGTGTGTGTGTGTGTGTGTGTGTGTGTGTTGAAGGTCAACAGACGATCATGCTAAGCTTGCTAACTGTTCCACCCTCTGACTGCTGCAGGGGCGTGTCTTAGAGAGAGGCTTTTATACCAGAACACAGCCGCTGTGACGAAACCGTGGAGAAGACACGTCACCGTGGAGAGCCATTAACCAATATGCAAATTAGCCTGCAGTACCACTGCTCCAAATATTACAGATTTGAACAAATACGCACAAAAACATCAAAATTAACACAGAAACAGTACTATATAACATTTTAGACACATTCTAGACAGTTTATCAGCTAAAAAAAGTTAATTTTGGGGTAAGTTGCGCTTTAAGTTTAAAAACCACTCGTCTGTTTGTGTAAGCGTGTATTTGTTTCCTTAACTTTTCAGCGTTGATTAAAGTCTAAAACCATCAGTCAAAACTAATTAACGAAGCAGACCCGGTTCTGCATTCCCAGCTGAACGGTACCACCCACATCCATCCCATCACACACATTTCTGACATACTTCTCATTGTGCTCAGAATAGCTCTTATTCCTTCAGTGTTTTATGAGTCCTTGAATGTGAGAAGTGTTTTATTTAAGAGAAAACCCTTTGCTGCTGCTGCAGTCCTTTTTACAAAAACAAAATTGAATAATTCACCAAACTTTCTTATAAGATCAGCAAGTTCACACACTGCTGCTGTGACTAGCTAAAAGTAGCAAAAAGCTAACTAAAAGCTAAACGTAACAAAACACTATTTAGAAGCATAACATGGCAAAGAGTTAGTTTAAAACTAAAAGTGACAAAACGATGACTGAAAGCAGCAATAGGTTAGCTAGAATTAGCAAAAGTCTGGCTAGGAGCTAGCACAAAGGTAGAAAAAAGTAGCAAAAGGCTCTTTAAAATCTAAATGTAGCAAAATGGTAGCAAGAAACTAAACATAACAAAAGGCAAGCTGAAATCTTAAAGTACCGTAGATTTAAGCTAAGTAAAAGTAGCAAACAGCTTATTAAAAGCTAAAAGTAACATAAGGCTGGTTAAAAGCTACATATAGCAAAATGCTAGCAGGAAGCTAAACATAATAAAAGACKAGATAAAGTTTTAATGTAGGAATATGGTAGCTAAGAAAAGCAAAAGATAAAAGCTAAGAGCATCAGAACAGCAGCTCAAAGCAGCCAAAGGCTAGCTAAAGGTATCAGAATGGTAGCAGTGAGACTGTAGTCGTCAATTAGCTCTATCAGAACACCACTTCAGAACGTCTCTGATTGTTTCTAATGAGGTCAGGGTGAGTCCTAACAAGGGTGTAGTTTTGAGGCTAACACTGTTCGGCTGCCAGTCCATGGAAAAYGAGTTTAAAGTCAGATGAGTTCTTTAAAAAGACGTTGGGATGTTTTGTTCTGAAAACAAGAAGTCAGCTGTTTGTTTCTGGGTCTTCATGAGGCAAAGCTGGACTATGAATAGTATCAGGAGTTCAATCTGAAAACACRAGGTTGCCAGTGAAGATCTGCCTCTTTTTTTCTCTGCAGGGTAAACACAATTCAGAACCTGGTTTTGACCCCATAAACTTTTCAACCCCTGCAGTTAACAACTCACAAGATGACTTTACCTGAACAGGGATGTGTGTGTGTACTTTAAACAACCTGTAATGACTGCAGAGATATAAGATGATGTGTTTCAGAGCGGTGCTAAAGGTTAGCTGCCACCTTAGTTCTAATAAACAGCTCCATCACAGAGCTGGCTTCTGTTAGCATGAATGACTAAGATTATCCACTCTGGGCTACAAAACATGTCTGGGCATGTTTTTTCATTTACTTTAGCAGTTTGTCCAGATTTCATAAGGTCTGGGTGGTGTTGAAAGCAAGATTCCAGGGATCACTGAGTTCCTGAAAGTCTCTTGTTATTAAAGAATGTCTGAAACATTCTGTGACACTTGTGACACTGTCAACAGATATACTGATGGATGGGTTGATTTGGTTGGTATAATTTATTGATTTGGATGGTTGGTGTGTTTTGTTGGTTTGGTTTATTAATTTGGTTGATTGGTGTGTTTGGTTTATTGATTTGGTTGGTTGGTGTGTTTGGTTGGTTTGGTTTATTGATTTGGTTGGTTGGTGTGTTTTGGTTGATTGATTTGGTTGGTTGGTTGGTGTGTTTGGTTGATTGATTTGGTTGGTTGGTGTGCTTGGTTGATTTGGTTGGTTGGTGTGTTTGGTTGGTGTGTTTGGTTGCTTTGGTTGATTGATTGATTTGGTTGGTTTGGTTTGTTGGTGTGTTTTGGTTGATTGATTTGGTTGGTTGGTGTGTTTGGTTGATTGATTTGGTTGGTTGGTGTGTTTGGTTGATTGATTTGGTTGGTTGGTGTGTTTGGTTGATTGATTTGGTTGGTTGGTGTGTTTGGTTGATTGATTTGGTTGGTTGGTGTGTTTGGTTGATTGATTTGGTTGGTTGGTT